GGCTGTAGTGGGATGAATACTTCAAACTAGCATGAATAAACGAAGAAAAAAACCCAAACCAAAACACAGCTTTCTTCATTCTGCCTCAGCTGTTTTTATTCCTCATTTTCACACCATTCCCTCTCTTGTGCCAGAGTATCTGTTTATGCAGCTACAGAGTGATCCGGCAGCTTATCCCACTGGAAACTAACTTTTTTTTTTGGCAATGTCTAAGGAATTGATCTGGGTTAGAATGCTTCTTAGCAGTAGAAGTAGTTTGTGATGTTTCTGAAACATCCCAGATCCTCTCAAATTAAAAGGCCTACCAAAAAAAAAAAAGGATACCAGTGCCACGAAAGACAGTGATTTATCTCCTAAAGACAGGTCTCGTCCTCTTCACACACAGCCTCTGCCCCACGGTCCTCAACACTATTTCTCCCCTGCATTTCTTTGCAAAAGGTTGATGAGAAGTCCCATGCTACCAAGTCTGCACTGTTTATACAGAAATATTCCTCAGTACATTTAAGCAATGTCCCACTTGAGAGCCATTAGGTAGAACAAATGTCTAGCATATATAATGTAAGATGGTCATGCCAGCAACCAGAGTTGCCTCCTCCTGAAAATGCCTAAATAGACAAGCAAACTGACCCTTTAATTTTACCTTATGAGGTAGAATACAATACCAGTAAGATTCAGTAGGATGACTCCTGTATTCATTTTCACAGGACCACTGGTCATCCTAAACCCCTTTCACATTAAGGAGATGAGCATATTTCTCAAAGGGTCTATAATGGAGGTCACCCAGGGTATTAAGCAGAAGTTTTCCTCCATTTTCTTCACTGGGGCATGACATGCTGATGAATTATATCACTGTGGCACAGGTTTAATGGTATCTTCTGCTACCTTAATGGAGGATCAGAGAAGCTATTTTTAATATAGTATGACAGACAATTACAATTTCTTCCATCATTCTGAATACAGCATAAAGTTAAATAAACTGTGATAATGTATTGCTACATGCTTAACACAACACTTTCCTAAAAGCTATGAAGGGCAGGGATGGTCCACTGAGAGTTAATCATGGCAAAACAAACGAAACATCACTCTCTTTATGTAATCCAACATCAAATGCATCACAATTACAGAAGTAATTTTGAAAGACAAACAGATCAGAAGAGAAAATTTGATGCAATTTTAACTATCAGATACACAGAACCTTGAAATAGTTTATATCCTGAAATATGAAAAAAGCAAGATGAGGATCTGTACTGGCAGATTAGTGCAATCCTGCAACAATATCCCAAATCTAATCTATAGTGGCAATACCATTAGACCAGCTATCACACACCACGTCCTCTACATGCTTAAGATTACCAACACCCAAGACAGAGATAACAGTGGCATTGCTCTTTTACTGTGGTCTTTGAAACAATTACTTCAGTTTTATTAATTTTTAATAGCAGTTGTATTGATACTACAGCCAGAAAGATGGATAACTGCTTTTTTATAGAAGTATACTATAACATGTTAGTTAACAGAAAAATCAGGGAAGACACTTAATCACTGTTCTACTCTACTAATTTCTGTTTTAAGGAGATACAGACTCATCTGAGTGGTGCCCATTCAAAACTCCACTGCCAGACCCATGGAAGCCACAATGGTAATGACAGAGAACAGGCAGCTGTCCTGCGACTACTGTACATATCATGAAAGGTGTGTACAGCACATTGTGGACTGTTGGTTTGAATGGGAAAGGACCTTACTGTCTGCCCGTAAATTCATCCTTTGGTAGAAATATGCAAAAAAGAGGCTCTTTGACAGAATGGTGGTGGGTCAAAATGGGAGCTGCAAATCCTGATGAGGAGTAATACAGCCACTCTGGTTTAATTTTGGATGGGTGGAGCAGCTAAAGAAGTATCCCGAGATCAGCACAGGGTCTAGAAATCCTAAAAGGCATTGTTGCTATTCCTAATTCACTGTGGGCGAAACGACTGACAGAAGGGTGCGAGGCTGAGATGGAAGATGGAAATTCTCCTGGATGGGCTGTACTGCCATGACAGCCCCACTGTGGATGGGTGGAGTAGTCAGCTTCTGCCTCCACGGTGCCCATGAATCCCTGAAGGATCATTTATTCAGTCTTTGTTCTCTAATTAGTAGATATATGCCATAATTAATGGTAAAACATTTCCTTAGTATTCTTCTTTCTGTAGCCCAAACTGTTTCCCAAGACCATAAATTATTCCCTTCCTTCATATATATTGATTTGTAACTTTTACAGATCGTGTTTACATTCCCCAGTGAGCATTTTCTTCTAGACTCTTTAATTATCAAACGAGTCCATGGAGGGGTTCCAGAGTATTATCCTGAAGGGCACACACCGCATGAAAACCACCAAGAGTGGAATATGCTACCAAACAGATTATTCTGGGAAATGGAAGAAAAAAAAATCTCAAAATTCTGGACACAGTTAGGAGCTTGGCAACTGCACGAGCTGCTCTGCTCCCAAATGTTGAGTAAAGAAAATGCTGAGAGTATGAAAGCCCATGCATGACACAGAAGTTCCCTGCAAATGTTAACTCTTTAGCATATACAGCAGTGGTTATGATGTGGTTACTTCAAAGATACCATCAAGTAAAACGATCAAATATATTAAAAGATTCAGACTACAATGTTAACAGTCACAGAAAGGTCTGTTGTATTCTGGATAGTCAGGATAGCCCACAGATTATTCTTCAAAACGAACTCATATATTGTTGGTACTAACAATCTTATTACTATAATGTTAAATGGCAATGACAGGCTATTACCAGTTTCTCTCATCCTCGCTTTCAATCTCTTAGCTTTCCTTGAAGGCTATCTGAATGGAGCAATGCTCTAATCTCCTATATTATTAACATTTTAAATCAGATTTTAACCATTGTTTTAACGATTCACTCAAAACTCTTGTTTTTTTCACGTGCATCCTTCATGAAGAGCATTTAAAATCACTACTGTGATCGTCCAAGCACACACTGGGACCCTTCTCACCTGAAATCCTCCATGCTTTGATTCCATAAGAGCTGATTTCACACAAATGTCTCCTCCTTTATTTTTTTCGTTAAACCACTAAGCACTATTGGGACTAAGTATCTCAATGACACTTTCAACACTTCTTTCCACAGCTGTTCTTCTTCCACATTACATATACATTACATGGAAATCTGTGCAGAGCTCTGTATCCTATCCCAGTAAAGCAATTTATTTAGTCATTCATAAACTTCTCTTGTTTCACATTAGTATGAGCCCAAAACTTTCAAATGCTTCATGAATCAATTAAAAAAAAAAAAAAAAAGGAAAACCCTGTCCCCTCCCCTAAGATATACATGTGCATCATAGCCATCTTCATGCAAGTTCAGACAAAAAAAGAGATGCCAGCACCTGAGACCCACAGGCACAGCCCCATGCTCTGCACTCTTCTGCACCTCACAGGAACATAGTGATGGAGATGGTAATTTCTGGTCCTTAATCTCTCTCACTAGTTCTGAGCACAAATTCTACCACGGTCCTAACCTTCCCCACCCAACCTTTCCTACATGGAAATGAAGCAGTGTTTCCCACGGGATAGTCTGGTTTGTGCAAACCGATGTTTGTAGATAAAGGCCAGACAGACATAAGACAGGCCAAAGATTCCATAATTCCATGCAGCCACACAACTGCCTTGTCCAACTCTGCACAATTTTCTTTGTTTTTAGGGTGTGTAAACTTCGGCCTTGGGGGGGATAGCTGCTAATGACCGAACTCACGTTTTCATGTTTCATGTGTTTCAGGAGGCGCAGCTCTCGGTAGGCTCTTTTGGCGAAGAGTTCAGACTGAAATGGGCGGTACAATTTCTTAATGGCCACTTTGGTACCACATCTTCCATCAACGGCTGAGCTTTAAGGGGAAAGGAAGAGTTTGGTGAGCAAGGACTGAAGCGAGATCGCAAACGCCAGCGAGCGGCTGCATCCTGCCCGCACTACCTCAGCCTGCGGCCTGCCCAAAGCAACCCCCCTTCCTTTAGAAGGCTGCCAGGCCCCGCAATGAAAAGTACCCGGTTTCCAAAAGCTTTAAGGAGGGACATCTGGAGAGGAAGAACCCCCCCCAAACGGAAATGAAATCCCACAAACCCCAACACGACCCAATCCAGGTGTCCCGTCCCAAGGGCCAACACACCGCTTCTGGGGGCGCTGCCGCTCCCGGGAAACCGCGGGCCGGGGCCGGCC